TTCAGGAAAGAGAGGTTTTAAGGGAGGGATGGGGCTTCCAGGACCTCAGGGAGACCAGGGATCTAAAGGCCAACATGTGAGTCCTACACCCTGACAAAACCATAAACTGAGAACTGCATCCAGCTTACAAAAGATCATTTTGCAACAAAACATTAATATTAATCTCTGATTTAGGGTGACATCGGGGAGCCCGGCTTTCCAGGGTACTAGGAATGTTTGGACCGAAGGTGAGTTTTATCACACATTGCCAGGAGTCTGAATTAAATGCTTCTTCTTGCTGAAAAACAGAAATGTGATCGTCCATGTGTGTCTGCCCAAGAGAAACAAACAGAGATGAGATTTATCATTTCTCAAAGAGTTCTTTCCTTTGGGAAACACGTTTTCATCCACACACTCAGAGCGTCATAATTCACACAAGCACTGGTGTATTTTTGTTAAGGTTTTCTCAGAAACCCAAAGCCGTGAGCTCATAAAACAGGACAAGCATGTGTAGTTGTGGTGTTACTGTGGCATTCCTAATTCACTCAGATTCATTCATGCTTCTGGTTTAACTAGATGATCTAGAGTTGTGGAAAAATGAGGACCACCAATGAGAGCCACACAAACAGTTGACAGTGAGAGATAGTCAAATGGTGTCTTTGGCCACGCAATGTTCCACTACATGAAGGCTTTAGTGCTCTTCAATATACACAACACACACACTAGCATTAATGTTGGGTTAGGCACAGCTGTGTATTTGTGTGTTTGTTTATGTGTGATTGATGTTTGGGTTGTTCATTCAGGGCCCTCCAGGAGACTTTGGGCCGAAAGGCATTCAGGGGCCTAAAGGGCCTCAAGGCAGCATGGTGAGCACACACACACATACTCACTCTATCTATCTATCTATCTATCTATCTATCTATCTATCTATCTATCTATCTATCTATCTGTCTGTCTGTCTGTCTGTCTGTCTGTCTGTCTGTCTGTCTGTCTGTCTGTCTGTCTGTCTGTCTGTCTGTCTGTCTGTCTGTCTGTCTGAATAGATCACATATGGCACATATAATAGTGTTTGTATTGTAATATTTCTATGTATGTTTCAGGGTAGAGGGGGTTTAGCTGGACCTGTCGGTGTGATTGGCCCTACCGGGAGTCCAGTGAGTATATGCCACTTCTATAGTGAACCGTGTGGTATTCTCTGCTGTCTGACCTCTGACCTCTGGCGTCTCTTTGTAGGGCTCGAGAGGAGATTCTGGCAACAAAGGAGAATTGGTGAGAAGAAATGAATTCATTCTTTCTCTTCAGATCTTGACATCACAGTAAATCTTACGGTGTCTCTTTAACACTCTTTTTTTCCCTACAGGGTGTTCAGGGACCTCGAGTGAGTCTTTACGGTCACAGACACTGCATTTCACATTATCATTGGCTTGTGTTTGTTTCAAAGTCACTTGTCTTTTTCTAACTTTGTTATTTGTGTGTTTTTCCAGGGCGCTCCTGGACCGCGTGGACTTCCTGGACCGCCGGTAAAACATACACTTCTTTCTTTAACTTTTCTTAGACTCTTTCAGAATATTTACTTCAGCTTTTTAGAATCCTTTTTAGGCCCCGTTTACACAAAGGGAAAACCCAGATATTTCCCTGTGGTTTGGCCTCTCATTTACACAAAAACCCCGTTTATATCACAGAAAACGATTATTTCTAAAAACTCGTCTCCGGACAAAGTGGAGATTTCTGAAAACGTCGGTTATGTGTTGTCGTGTGAACTGGGAGAAACGGCGTTTTAGGTTCTCTCTTGTCGATTCTGAGGATTCTGATTGGTTTGCATGGCTATATTCATGCCGCCCATAGGTTTGGCATAGTTATGATGACGCTCGACGGCGTATTTATGCGGGTGTGTGCACGATATTATTATTGAAAACGGAGAGGGGGAAAATATTCGTTTCTCTAAATAACCGGCTTTGTGTAAACGTGGCCTTAGGTTCTCATCCAATAGTGTCAGAGCAGTCAAATAAATAAAATTGTTAAATATTAAGTGACTTCGGACTAAAAAGAATTGTATATTTTTTAAATTGTAAGAAAACATAAAAAATCTTGTTTTTAAATTGAAGGTGTCCACAAATATCCCCAACCTGAAATTATTCATATTATACTCAGTTAGTTTGGGGAAATTTTTGTCCCCAAATTAAAGTAATTTAATCCACACATACATAGTATGTTTTAATAATATTAGAATATTTCATATACATTTATGATTATTATAGTTTTATTATTTGGATTCTTTACAGGGTCCACCGGTAATCCCACTGGCTATGGTAAGAATATTCACTAACTTTATATTTACATTTACCATTCATTCATTGCTGTTCTGTACATATGCGTTATTAAGTTTGCTTGTGTGTGTATGTTTTAGAAACAAGATTTCGGTCTTGGAGTGGCCCAGCCAGTTTTTAGGGAGACAAACACACAGAAAATAGAGGTGAGATCATTCAAACACACACCCACACACAAAGGACATAGCCTGTTTATCGGACGAGTGTGTGTTTATATGTAGTTTTAAAGGCTGTCCCGCTGTTCTCTCAGGGTCGGGGTCTGATGGACATGCCGATGTTGGATCAGGCTCCAGAGATCCTGCGGACTCTCCATTACCTGAGCTCTCTGGTCCACAGTCTGAAGAACCCGCTGGGCACACGAGATCATCCTGCTCGACTCTGCAAGGACCTGCACGACTGCCGGGATACACTCAACGATGGTGTGTGTGTGTTGAACCTGAAAGGAATATTCTGGGCTAAATACCACCAATAGCATCTAATAATTAAGCATTTACCATTGTTAAATGCATTTCAATTGTGCTGAAATATTTGCGTTCCGGTTTCTTCAGGCACTTATTGGATCGACCCGAACCTGGGCTGCTCCTCAGACTCTATAGAAGTGATGTGCAGTTTCAGCGGTGGTGGACGCACCTGTCTCAGGCCCATCAGCACAGCCAAGGTCTGTAGCATTCAGCTTCCAGATCAGATTTTTATTTCATTAATGCTTATCTTTGGGAGGATATGTTTAGAAAAGAAGTTGAAGTGTTAATGATGCTGTTTTATTGGCTGGTCGCAGCTGGAGTTCAGTGTCGGACGCGTCCAGATGAACTTCCTGCACCTGCTGAGCGCCGGAGCAGAGCAACGAATCACTATCCACTGCCTGAACGTGACAATCTGGAGCCACGCGCCCTCCCTGCCCCCGTCCCAGAGCGCTGTTCGCTTCCACGCGTGGAGTGGGGAGCCGCTGGAGCCGGACGTGTTAGCAGACTCCTGCTGGGTCAGTGTGCCCTTCACACAGCTCTCAAATGAATGAGTTTTACTTTGCATCACGTACAGGAATTTAAGACAATGAATGAATTTATTTTCTGCAGGATATACAATGATGGTGACTGTTTAAAACGTGTCATCTTAGTCTGTGAAAAGGGTCCATAGTGTTTGTTGTAGTTAACAATGTGGTTAGGGGGTGGTGATGGTGCAGTGGAGAAGACATATGCCTTTGGTGTGAGAGACCCAGGTTCGAAACCCACTGCGAGACACCAATGTGTCCCTGAGCAAGACGCTTAACCCCTATTTGCTCCAGAGGCGTGCGACCTCTGACGTATATAGCAATTGTAAGTCGCTTTGGATAAAAGCGTCAGCTAAATGAATAAATTTAAATGTAACAATAACAACACTGAACTTTAGTCATAAACTTGAGTTACTTTTGCATGCATGTTGCTTCACTGATTGTGTGTTCTTTTTATTGCATAGCAACTGAACGGGCGCTGGCAACATGCTGACTTCCTGTTCCGGGTGTCAGACCCCACCTTACTTCCTGTCATACGCATTAGCAACCTACCGAAGACAACGGCCTCATCACGCTTTCACCTAGAAGTCGGACCTGTGTGCTTTCTATAGTGTGTGTGTGTGTGTGTGTGTGAGAGATTGTGAGTGTGTGTGCGCTCCTCAAACACACACTGACCCACCCACAGCCCGCCCCCTTCAGTATTCAGCCACTGATTGGACTGCAGAAACAGAAAGAGGTGGTGTGGGCGGGGCTTTGGCTGACAGCATTAGAGACTCCCACAGTCTAAAGGAAATTCCACCCCTACCAGCCATGGATGTCCAATCAGATTTGATTCCTCTAAAAAAAACAAGCCAATCATCTCGCAGGGACAAAAACTCAGGACATCCGGGGCCGGAGAAACTGCTAAACCCTCTGTCTCTGTCTTTCTCTCTTCTTCTTCTTCTCTCTTCTTTCTCAGCCTGTTTCTTTGGTGCTCGTTTTCTTTTTAGTTGCTCTTTCAAAATAATAATAATAATAAGTTATTATAATACTTGTACTTTTATAATAAGAATCAAGTTTATTGAAGAGATGAATTAAGATCATTGAGAGGTATTATATGTACATATACACTTATTGTTTATCTGATCTTTTATATATTAATGTTGTCACGTGTAAAAAAAGAAATGCTAAAGTGCAATAGGAAAACGAAGAAAAAATGATAATTGATTATATATTAATGTGCATCTCAATAAGGAAGGTTTTTCAGGGATGTTGTCATTCATTCGTGTCATTTTAACACTCCGTCAGACAGGGAAGTGTGTGTGTGTTTATGCGTGTGTGTGTGTGTGTGTGTGTGTGATGGATCAGTAAACAAGTGAAGGTGTATTCTTCTATCAAACGACCCACCCGAGGTGCGCCTGTCACTTTAAAAGGGCCGTTTCTCAATGAAAATGGGTGTGTTTTGTTCGAAGTAGTTAATAAGAGTGAATCCCTCATGAGAACAGGCCTGGGTCATATTTCAACCAAAAAGAAAGCATAAAAATTAAAATTAGCATTGTGGCATTTTTGTGACGAGCAAAAATCTTTTTTACAGTAATGCATATGGAAATAATTCACCTTTTTGTACTTACTTTTGTAATTCGTAGGCTATTATTTGCTTAGATTATCATTACAGAAATGTTGAATTGCTGAAACATTACATCAATGAGTAAAAGTGCAGTTGTCATAAAATTATTGTCACAATGCAAAAAGTTAAAACTGCATTATGCAAAATTTAATTTGTATTCTTCATTTTCTGTGTGGTTTCAAAAACGTAGGCTACTCTGAGCTCAAAATATCATCAGTTTATTGTTTTCTTTTCATTTCTGGGTAAAATATGACTTGGACATGTTCTTAACAGGTTTCTCGAGATTTACTCATCAAAGGCCCGTTCACAATAACGATGATAACGATAAAATAGTTGAAAATGATTCGAAAAACTTTTTTTTTTTCTTCAGCTGATGAACAAGAAAAACATTGACAGCCAATCAGAATCCATTCTGCCTTAAGAGCGCAATCATTTAAAGCGACAGGCGACACAGCAGTGCGCGCTTATAGTTATCGATATAGAGTGCCGAAGTGATGACGTCACTTTGTGACAACTCGGAAGTTAGCGGCGCATGGGTTCCCTCGATTGAAAAGCAATGGATTTTTCCCATAGACTTTTGAAAAATCGCAAAAAATAAGATCTGTGTTCAACAAAGAGTTGTGACCCTTACACGTTTTTGTCTATCAAGATAATCTTCACAAGTTAATCCAAAATTTATACTTCGGCACTCTAGTTATCGTTTTTAGCGTGAATGGGCCTTTAAGGTTTGTCTCGGTAACAATGGTGCTATTTTGAAGCTGGTTTTAAAGTGGATCTTCAAGATGTCGATGCTTTTGTTTAGTGCCCGTGTTACTCTGAATTATGATGTTAGTGTGAATATTGTGTACTTTAAAGGTGCTCAGTTAATACATGTTTAATCTGGATGTGTTTGCAGTATGTTGAATGCATTATGCATAAGCTCTGTGGTTCCAGAACAGTTTTGTACTTTCACCTCACCCGCTCAAACATCAACTAGTGCCTTTTGTAAGGGAAAACATTTCAGTAGCTATACTTTTTTTTTTTTTAAGTGGCATCAGAAAGTGTATGTTATCATATGCAAATAATGGTCGTAATCTCGTGAACGATATGTTGTTCCCTAAAACATGGAAACGGCATTTCGAAGCTTTTTGTTCCTTTATTCTTCACGACCGTGTGTATAATTCTGCCGGCTTTGATGTATACAGTGAGTCCCTTTTGCTAATTTAATGTTATTTAAATTTACAAGCGCTCTTTTTAACCAAATTCTCTGTTGTGACAGAGTTTCTCTCCAGATAACTTAATTATCCGTACGCCAACTGCTCTTACGGTCGATAGATTTATTTTATGTGTAAATTTGGGGTTCCATAGAACAATATATTACTTTTTTCAATCTGTTTTTATTTTTCTATCCTGTTTATTTTTGTCTATAATAATAACAATAATCTAAAGTCGTACTGTACCAGGACTGTGTTCTATATTATTTCTAAGGTTCTAAGATGAATTTTAAAACATGTGAACGTTCCATGTCAGAATGTTGGAATTCTGATTACCTCATCGCTCTGTAGTTTCTGTTTGTGAAAATTCAACTGTCAAATTCAAGGCTCAGTAAACTCATCTTTGTCAAATTCATAATCAGTTCTCTCTCTCTCTGAACACGTCCTCTGTTTCGCTCATTGTTCTTTGTGTCAGTTTTCCGTACTCGGTTACCTATGTGGATTCTGAATTGGAATTAATGCTTACATACCCAATAAAGATGTTCTTACACCAAAGCCTGCGTTTGAACTTGTTGTTTGATTAATAAAAACAATACAGACATCGTAACTCTAATTGTTACACTTCATTTAGGCAAAAAAAAAGAGATCTTTGTTTTCATGATAACCTTTAGTTAATGCATTAACTAAGATTTATAAAAACATATATTTTTTAATTAATTATTAATTATTTTAATCGTTTTAATGTTTAAGTTTAATTATTTGTATTAATACTAGTTAATAAATGTGTCAATGTTAGTTCACAGTGCATAGTGTTAACAGATACAATTTTGGATATTAAAAATGTATTAGTAAACGTTGAAATTAACATTAAAGATTAGTAAGTATTGTAAGTATTGTTCAATCTAGTTCATGTTAGCTAAACCTTATTGTAAAGTGTTACCTAGAAATAAAAACCCAAATATGACAAAAAATGTTTTTGTTATTTTTGACATTACAAAAATACTATCAAGTTGAAATGAAAACAAAATAAGTAATTAAAAATAAATACTATGAGATCTTAATGATACACTGTTAAAGGGGTGGCAAAGTATGATTTCACTTTTCTAACTTTAGTTAGTGTGTAATGTTGCTGTTTGAACATAAACGACATTATCAAAGTTGCAACGCTCAAAGTTCAAAGCAAAGGAAGATATTTGCTTTTAAAGAAATCGTTGTTTAAATCTACACTGTGTAACTCTTTTAGTTTATTCTTAGCTAAAAACACTTGGTTCTTTCAAAAATATATGTGCTCATTAATGTATATTTACTTCATTCAAGTAATAAAGTGTATAAAAATAAATACGGGTAAGGGCTTCTAATGTCGGTCGCCATGTTGCCCCTCCATCTTGAAAGTACATTAGCCAAAGAGGGACATAGCCGTTAATTCAAGCTTCGCCTTTCGCGTTACGTTTGAGTTAACACTCATGGACGAGGTCGAAAGCCATGTTAATCTTGGACTACATTGGCCACCGTAGGAGTTAAAACGAACTCGTAATTTTTTTTTTTTTTTTTTTGAGAGGATACCTTTTCACCGCTAGATGGGGGTGACAATCACACCGTGTAGCTTTAGGGACTACACGAGCTTCCTCCCATGTAATTTTGTTCTATTGACGATCACTGAGAAATGGTCTATTAATTAAAATATAAAAAACATTTATTATTTTCAAGGTGAAAAGGATTCATTTGCCTTGATCCACGCCGAAGAAAACGTCTAAATGTTACGTTTTTAATGAAGCAGCTTAATGAGTAAAATGTCTATTTCTCCGGTGTCCCCCAGCTCCTCGTTTAAGCAAAAGTTACGCTAAAACAACGTATTACATCGACGTTAAACCACGCTAACCGTGTTAACCATAACCATTTAAATACTCGACCTAGTTCCGTTGCTTAGCAACGGGAAGAAACTCCTGTAACTTCAAGTGCACAACCCGGTATCACGACAAGACGTGAAATAATCACGTTGGTCCACTTTGGAAAACGTGTAGATGTCACGGTTTAACAAAACCATAAATAGGGCTATACTGCCCTCTTGTGTCAAATTATATTTTTATATTTATTTTTCCAACAAATAAAACCAAACCTGCAATAAAAACCATCCAATAAACGCTTGAACTCAGTTGATAAAGCGTTGGGCTTTAACCAAGAAGACCTGAGTTCAAATCCCGTTCTTGCTTCCGTTAAATTGTTGTGATTATATCAAACAAAGTGGCCAAAACAACATTTCTCCAGCCGACAAGACTAATCACGTTGGTCCACTTTGGAAAATGTTTAGATGTCACGGTTTCACCACCTATTGGTTTTCATTAAACCGAGAAAAATGGGATTTGGTTTTATTGACGATCACTGAGAAATGGTCTATTGTTTAAAATGCAAAAAAACATTTATTATTTTCAAGGTGAAAAGGATTCATTTGCCTCGATCCACGCCAAAACAAAAGGTCTAAATGTCACGTTTTGAATCAAGCAGCCTAAATGGTCCACTTTGGAAAACGTGTAGATGTCACGGTTTAAACCCCTCAAATGTGAAACTTACACGTTTGCGTTAACACGCTCCAGTGGAAAGATACCCGTGTTGACCTATTCTATACGCAATCGCCTCTGCCATAACGACCTGTTGGTTTTCAGACCTGAGTGCAAAAATGAAGGCTCTAGACCCTTCCAGAGCTGAGATATGGAAATTCAAAATTTCGACCCGAAAAAAAACGACAGTGTTACCACTTCCGTTTTTTTTTTTTTTGGGCGAGAAATTAAGTTTCTCCAATCTTCTCAAAACTCTGGATTCTGATAGAGGGCCATGAGACTTGGACCTGAGTGCAAAAATGGAGGCTCTAGACCCTTCCAGAGCTGAGATATGGAAATTCAAAATTTCGAC